GAATATGATTATTCATCCACGTGATAACATGTTTAACGGTACAAGACATTAGGAAAATATGAAATAGCCTAATACGGATGTGCCGTCACATTACATTAATAAAAATAATTTAGTAGCCTATCCTTGCCTTGTTTTTAAATATAAATAAATCAAATAGTGTAAAATACATTTCAGAGAAAGTTTTCACAATCTTTTCCACTGACCAAATAGCCTATTTTTAATTGATTTATATTTTTAATGGAAACAGATAGACTGTTGTGCATTATTTGCACGAAACTATTTTCTCAGACAATCTGCTATTATCATGATAAGCAATTATCTCTTTAGTTAAAACATTAAAACACAGCATGCCAGAGGAAAAGTGTTCAAAAGCATTGCATCCACAACAAATATTTATATTTATTGAATATAAAAAATGTTGTAACTTCTCAGTAATGGTTTCATGTTTAAGTGTTTAACTCCATCAATGACAATGGCATATTTAATCTAAATGTTTATATCAGAAGTAAAACAGTTTAAATCATTCTTTTATTTATTTAAACTGTTGTGAACATGCACAGTTTTTATGATTAGGACTCTGTCGTTAGATAGGCGTTAGTTTCACTAAACGGCCCAACGCGCTCGCTGGCGCGGACATTTAAGAAGGGATGAATATTTGCCTCAAGTGATATGCTTAGTGAGTGAAATTATATTTGTATTATCTTTCTGTATAGCCTATGTATAATTTTCTTTAGATTTTCTGTCTAAAAGTGACCAAAAAGACATTTAACTACAGCTCACCATCGGTGTCGCCAAACTGCTCCGTCTCCAAAACGTTCGTACGCATGGGTCAGAGTTTGCGTGCAGGTGCGCACATTTTTCCGTCAAGTTTGTTTTTATAAATCACATCTTATGCGTCGGAAGTGGCGTACGCCTCTTTCAGGGCCTGTTTTGTGCGTACGCAACGGTTATAAATGAGGCCCCAGGTGATTGGATATTGTCCTTTCAGATGGCAAATTTCCAAAAACGTATGCAAAAAATAATATTTACATTTGTTTGTATGTACTTTCCATTACGGTCAGTCTGTCAAGATTTACCAAATTTTAAGCAAGATCTTTAGCTGTGCTAGTGGTGGGAAATTACAGTTTATTGCGATAAACAAATCTTGAGTGATTGTGCTCATAATATTACCTGTACATTAAATAAAAAGAAAATCATTGTATAATTTGCAGATAGATAGACAGAGCAGGCATGTTAGTCTATATACTTATGTCACTGGTAGTTGGTTCACACTGGGCAATGTACGCTCCTCCTGCCCCTGATGTCTTTCCCTAAATTACCAGTCTCTGAAGGAAAAAGTAATAACCTTCTATATTGGTAATAAAATATATTACACAGAATATGATAAACACTTAATAGCAGTCCTTTAGAGGGTTCGATGTTGAGCAGGTTTCTGTGCCTAGTGAAGCTATTTATTAAAAAATCCACCTCAATAAAGGAAGATTTCATCTGGTCGATATCCATATGGTTTATAAAGATAACCACCACAAATCCTCTCAACCTTTCTGTCGTTCATTACCGCTCGCCAGCTGTGCTCCGAGACGCTCAGATACTGCACGTCATTTGTTGTTGGGACCATCTCCAACAGCGAGAATGCACCTAATATTGATCTGCATTCATTCCTCTGTTCCTCTATCACCTATGAGATGAGTTCCTTTGATAAGGTTCATTTATTTACGTTGGTCTCACGGACCTTCATCTCGGTTGAGCTGTGTTCATGCAGTAATAGTTTTCTATTAGATTTCCCAAAAGCAGAGTCACTTATTTACCATGGCGATGCATCATTAAATCAAATGGACCCCCGTGACACGGTGAGCTCGCATTCCTCTGATGTTTATGATCGGAAAGTGTGATCAGCATTTATTAGCTTACTGAGGAAAGTGAAACTATGCACATATGAGGACCCCGACCCCTCTGAAAGCATTCAGATATTAGATATGGAATATTGAAGTGCTCTTGTTGTGCAGGAAACCCAATCTGACAAAACATTACTGCTGCTTAACTCTCATTGTCTCATGGGTCGGTGTGAGGTCAGCCAGTATGAACAAGATAAATAATCCATTCTAGGCATATATATGTGCAAGCTTTATTTAATTTTTTGCTTTAATGTTACAATACGTAAATAAAACTGGTCAGTGAAAGTAGTTAAATTCAGGATAAATTGAGCCTTTTCAACCCAATTTTTTTTTTAATTTAAATGGATTTGTTGTAGTCTTGTTGCATATATTTAAATGAGATTTGTTATGGTTAATGAAAATAAAATCTGGGAGAAAAATATTAAATCAGGCTGTCTGTACACATACACCACTGTGCAACATATTGGGCTATTTACTGTTTTTTAATACTATTATTATTATTATTACATATATATATTAAAATATGAAGTAATTGCATATCTTATATATATATATATATATATATATATATATATATATATATAAATAAATATAAATATAAATAATAATAATAATCATCGTCATCATCATCATCATCATAGAACATGACTTAAGGTTTGGACACACCTTGAATAATGAAGGTAGAACAAAGACTTGAGGCTTGATGGTCTCGCAGTAGTTTCCTCTGTCCTCTTTATAGAGTATGTTTCAAAATGCTCATTAGGATAATTTTCCTGACAGTCCTGTCTACATCTCAGATGCTTTGTTAGTGGTTATTCATTCAACAGCAATGAACAATAACTATACAGGGTGATTTAAGTCCTTACAATTTATACAATAATCTAATATATTATAATTAATGCAAATTAGAATAACTATGATAAAAGGGATTCTTTCAGCTATATGATCTAGACTTATTGACAGACTTTTTTTTGTAGTATGCACAAGATAATGTATGTACAGTAATAAATCCCTAATTTGACTCTTGATAGCTGATGTATGGAGATCGTCAGCGGACATTTTTCGTAGTTTTCGTTAATAAAATGACCACTAATACAAACCTGTTTGTCAGGTGCCATTATAACACACTGATAGATGTCAAACCTGTTTCTGAATTTTTGTAAATGCAGATACTTGAATGTTACTGTTCAGATATGCAGTATTAAGAATTATTTTAGATGTACTATATGTTTGCATATGATTTACAATGTCTAAATGACCTATTTGGTAGAGTTAACATCTTGTCCATGTGGTGCTTCCACAGCATTATTTATGGCACAACAAGGTATGGTCTCAGTGGGAGCAATGACTTAACTGGGCAGATGTAGGGGCTGCACAACTGCTCTTTTCAATCCCAGCATCTTGCTTGCTTGTCTTTGGGGACAAAAATGGTTCAGCCTTAATCGAGTGTTAAAGCTTTCTCTAGCGCTGTCTTTAGCCCCAGCCGTGTTCCTGTGACAACGACTTAATGAAATGAATGGGTTCTCCAAAGGACCTGCCCCGCTCTGCCATTGTTGCATTATTCATCTGGTGAGTCAGGGTGACTTACAAATTCGTACATTTAGAACATTAATCTGTTTATTTTTGCTGGGTATATTTATCCAAGTAGTTATTCTCCTTGCCTTACGGGATGCTAGGAGAACACACTTTCTTGACACTGTGAACCCTTGAACAACTTTTAAAAAAAAAATGTGTTGTTGCTTAGTTAATGGCCCTGCAGTATTCGCTGCCAAACCCATGATGTCTCATATCATTCAAACACAGTGTCTTCTGAAGCTTGGCCAAGAATGTAGCTTGTCTGCTGAATCCTGTAGCATATCGATATGAAATCTCTGAATAAAACATCTTTGACTTAAACAAGTTGAATGGCCAGAATAAAAACTCATTTTTAAAGCGTGCAACCTTTAATAATATAAAATAACTTTTTTTTTTTTTTTTTTAGCATGCAACTTGCTTCCAGAAAACAAAGTAGATAGGTACACTGCAAAACACTTTTTTTTCTGCTATTGAAGTTGGATACAGGTAAGGTTAGGGACAGGTTTGGTGGTAAAGTTTGGTTTAAAGTCACCATGAAATCAAAATCAATAATTGTTTTTGTTTTTTTTACATAATGTTGCAGTGTTTATTAAAAATGATTTATCAATGCACGTCATTATTTATTTATTTTAATTCATGTGCACATCTGTTCTCTTCATGATGTATGTCTTTGCGGAGAGTGGGACTATATATCCTCCACAACTGCCTGCAAACTGGCATTCAGATCTGCCTCCATTTAGTTAGCAAATCTCGACTTCCTATGATTCAATTAATTCCTGAAGGATGAAATCAAGCCTCTCCCTACATTTTTTTTTTCTCGGTTCAGAAGCTGCTTCTCTCGAATATGCTTCACAATGGGGAAAAAATTATTGCAACGTCTTTTTCATGACATCTTTAAGGGGTAGAGATAGGGTCAAATATAATTGTAACTACAGATGTAGTTACATGCAGATATTTTTTTGAAATATAAGTAGAATGTTAAAACAAATATGTACACAATAAGTGCATTGTACAAATGATCAATTTAAATGTTAGTAATTGGTAGTTAAATACACTTAATACAAAGTGGGTCACATATTCTTAATCTCTCCAAAATGCAAATCTGCCACTGGTCATTTTAAAGCTGCCCTGTGTGCAAAAATCCAGCCCATTTGAACGTGCAATTATGGACTTTTCTTCCACGGTGTCATTTAATCCCTTCTTAGCCATGTTGAGCTACACCTGTGCATTTAATGTAAGCCACAATCCCAGAAGGCAAACGTTTGGCATGTGTGTAATGCCTGAGGGATGTCAGCTCAGGTAACCATGAACAGCCATTATTGCCTCCATTTAACAATTAGAGGGGACAAGGAAAAAGAAAAAATGATGTACATGATGGCCCCTCAAGCTAGAAAATCTGTTATGACATTATCTCTTGTGAAGGACCCTAGCCGCAAGCAAAGGTCTTCATCATCTTTTCAGGTAAAGAGCTGTTCTTTGGTAACCTGTCACCCCATCATTTATCTCTCTTTTGCTTTTGTCCCCTCATAGATCGCCTTCTCTCAGCACAACAGCATTATGGACCTGGTGCAGTTCTTTGTGACATTTTTCAGGTGAGTGCTTGTGCTGTCCTTGTTCCTTACACATTTCAAAGGAGTGATGTAACACCGAAGTTGATCGTAACAACATCTTTCACCTGTTAAGCCAATGTATAATCATTTAGTGACAGCCTGCCCGGGTTGGATTCCTCAGAACTCGATTCGTTTAATGCCTTTTCCCTTTGGATTAGTGAGCCAGTACTGAGCGAGCTCTTTAGGCCAAGAGGAAATGAGACCTAATTGGTTTTAGTGTTCTCCAGCTCTACCTATTTGCTTAAACTACCGTATACATTCAAGTTTTTAAATTATCTATTGGAATAAATTCTTCTGATAGACTTGGTGCGGTCACATTAGCAAAATTTCACAGAGACAACAAGGCCCATTGTCAATAGTATAATAATAGTGTAGCGAAGCATGCTCACACAGAAGTTACTTTCAAACCAAGCAGCTTTTTGTTGGTCAACATGGTGAATTTGCAAGACCAACATGAGCGAAATCAGCATGGGGAGTATTTTCGTCCTCACTCAAAACTCCCCATTGTGTGGATTAGGGATGGGCGATATATTATCGTTTGCGATATATCGTTAAAATTTTTCCTCACGATAAGAATTAGTCTTCCCGCGATAATAACGATAAAGCCTATGACGGGACGCATTCGCAGCTCACGCGCATGGCGGAAGGCGGACGTGAAGCTGAGGTGAAGTTTATCGCTAAACGAGTAACTACCTCTACAATCTGGAACTGGTACACACAGATTTTCATCCGCCCATCTCGCCGAACACTGACTGAGCACTTGAGAGTGTCGCTCTCCGTCAAGTGATCCGTAAAGCCCACTATATCAGTTCATCTCAATGAATACACAGTGTATTTGACGCGCAGTAAACACTGAGGCGCATGACGTGCTGTCACTGCTGAGAGCGCTCCGTGTTTCTCATGCACTCGATGAGAGAGAGAGAGTCTTACATACCACGCAGAATTGAAGTGTACATGATGTCTACATGTAAATTATATTATTTGTTGTATTTTCCTGTAAAAATAATGGAGTTCATTTGGAATTATTCAGCTTTGAGCAAGCAGAAACTAATGCGCAAACGCAGACATGATATTCATGAACCCAGCAGCTCATCAATCCTTAGTGTGGTTTATATTGTTATTAGTATCAGAATTCGTAGTAGTATTAGTATAACTATTCGTTGTTAGATTTTTTATATTTCAAACTTGTAAATGATTTGAATTATTACGGTGTGATGTTTTTCAGTATAGTTGCACTATTTAAACAATATCTGCACTTTTACAGAAGAAACGTATGCAACTTTTCCATTTCTGCAAGGGATGGTGTTTACTGTTTTACTGTTTTTTTATTATTATTTTATGGACGGTAATTGGTATTTTATAGGAGCCTATTTGGTGAAGGGTACATTTTACTTTGCATGCAGCTATCACTTGTAGCCAAAAACAGTGGTGAATATGGTTATATCGTCATTGATATCGTTATCGCAATAAATGCCAGAAAATATCGTGATATATTTTTAAGTCCATATCGCCCATCCCTAGTGTGGATTCCTTTTGAAATGACTGGATTTTGCCCATGATGTGACTTCACGTATAAGCTGCATGAAACCGTTTACCTTACTTATACATGAATATCAGTCACATGACCTCTTACGTCATCCGCTCTTTTTCCAGTTGACTGCCGCCATCTTGAGTACCTGCCGAGTACTGTCTACAATACTGACGGCATTAGCTAGGAAGCAGATTTTCTGTTTGTTTCACTTTATACATAACCAACTTTGTTTATGTAAACCCTGTGTGTATTTGACAGTATTCGCACAATAAGACTAGAAAGATAACTTAGTTCAGTAACCTGTCGCTGTTGTTAGACAGGCTTAGTGCGCGTGCGCTTCGGGTGTACGCGCTCAGAAAAGCGCTCATTAGAACCGCGCATCAACACGTGAATGACTTGTTAGCACATGCAAATAATGAACTTATGTGAACTGCATTGTCCCGTTCCTCTGCGTTAACATTTGATGTGAATATACGTCGCGATATATTTTAATCCACGATCATAAATCGTGATATCGCACACCCCTAAGCTAGCGTAAGCTCATTATCATTTACATACACTCACCACAGACAAAATGAACACTGCACAGAGAGTTTGCACACACAAACCACTGTTATAACATACAAGCAAGCAGCTACTGCGTGCATGGTTGGGCATGATATGATTGAAGGATTTTGACTGAATGCGCGCAAAGTGCGCTCCCTTAATAATTCCTAAAAAGCTGACATCAGTTAATCGCGATCTCACATCTCTGTTAATATCAATTAAGCTGACTGCACAATGAATCTTTCATAATATATACACTTTGTTTGTTACAATTAGAGGATTTGTCAGCATACAGAGCTCTGAACAAAAAGTCCGTTTTGAGCAGTGAGGGGAGTCTATCTTAAATGCTTCTGATTGGCCTTTGCGTTGAAGAAATCAACACGTATGTCTGTGATTGGCTACATCGCTCAACGCTGCAAACGTGTTTTAAAAGGAAACTCTGGCCTGTAAATTGTTTCTATTTTGTTTTAGTTCTTGTTGCTTTTCTGCAAAAATGTATTAGTTTTTGTGTTTTATTCATAGATATTTCTAGTTTGCGGGAGTCCCGCGAATCGTTTTATTCTCCCTGCAACGCGCACACACACAGAGAGTGCATTGCCGCTCGCACTCGGCCATCAAATCTAGTCCCGCGCCGCACTCTTTTGCATTGGGAGTGCACGTCTCTAGATCAAGGGCCCGGCCCGAGGATAGTGACGGGAAATATCGGCCCGCAAGTTCGGGCTCGGTCGGAGAATAAGCTCTAGTTCCTTTGCGACTGACGTATCGATCTTGCCGAATCAGGTACTCAAGATGGCGGAAGACAAGTTTTAGAATTGAGTGACGTCAGTGAGGAGACGTTGGTGACATCATCTGATATTCATGTATATTGTATATTAGCTGTCGCTTTATCTTTACATTTTTTTTGCATAAGCTAATTGATATCAAGGAACTAACTGGAAACGAGGGAAGGAAACAAGGTGATTGAAGAGGTTCAACTTGACATTATGTGCCACTTTCTATAGTAGTTTTACTTTTAAGGCATAGCTAGTTCCCCCAAAAATGTAATTCATTTACTCACCCTTATGTCTTTACAAACCTGTATGCTATAGCCTCTCTTTATTATAAAATTACAATGAATGGAGCCTGAAGATTTCAGGCTTCAAAAAAAAGTTTTTATTCACTGAAAATCTTGACATTCACCTTAAGCTCTTTTGCACTGCTTTATGGATTGGTCTGATTTTGGAACATACAGATTTTGAGTCATATATTTTCAATACATTTTTTAATTTAGTTCACAAAATTAGTCTGGTTCTTATACAAAGCTGTCAGATGACTTCATAAAACTTGTGTTGCTTTCAAATCTTTTTTGAAACTTGAAAGCTTTCAGCCCCCCTTAATTGTAATTGCATGAAAAAAATAAACCAGCACTTTCTTCAGAATGTATCCTTTTTCGCGGAGTGCAGAAGAAATACATTCATATGAGATTGGACCAAATTGAGGGTTACTAAACAATGACAGCATTTTCAGTTTTGGCTGAACGAGATGAGACAAAACACAATTGAAAATGAACTTTTGATAATGCTGTCACGCAATGCTTCATGCAGAACTGCTCAGCTCCTTCCTCCAAATGAGGTGTCATTGCCACAAGATAGATCTGTCATCCTGATTTGTTAATTTCTGTGCAGTTTCTTGATTTGTCATTAAATGCACACCTGTACCCATTGTGTCTTGTTAGATTTGGTTATAAAGACCGTCTCTCTCTCTGAATGGTCAATCTCTTGCTGCTGCCGCTCCCTCTGGTGCTTGTCCTGGATTCAGATCATTGTCCTGGATTAGACAGCCCCTCTGGAAGCTGGTGTCACTCACTGATGCACTCCGACACGGGGTCAACTTGTTCTCCAAACAGTCATGTTATACAGCTTGCTTGTTTCTGACTGCCTGGGCAATCAGTTTAACTAGTTAGCTTCAAGCGTGCCTTAGTGTGTGTGTAGTGTGACATCCACACTGGCAGCGTAAGCAGACTGGAATTAATCCATTATTTTAAGAAAGCTTGGCACTTCATTCTGGAAATTCAGTTTGAGTCTGCTAAATTCAAACCTACCTTCAGAAGAACCAGACTCAAATGTTTAGTCTTTTCACCAACATCATTTATTCAAATATAAGTGAAGAAAGAAGACAGTCTTTTCAGGTGAATGAGAAACTGTCTGGCGTTGAAAACCGTTCTGTCATCTGGGAAGTTCAAATGCTGTTGTATGTTGCTCACGTATCATACAGGAAATTGCACCAGCTTCAGCGCGCCTTCCCTTGGCGTCTGGAAGCAATAGGTGAGAAGAAGCATATAGTTGATTTCAAATGCTTCAGTGGATGCGTAGTTGGCAGATTACTAGTTTTAACCCCGTGAATTGCTGTGGAAAATGTGCCATGACAAGGTGTCTCTCTCTAAGTCGTCCTCAGACGAGCCTTCCATCGTTGCCTCCAGGCATCCCGATTCTCCATGCTCCATGTGTGGTGCAACTGTCAAATAAGATAAAATGTCAAACAATGATTTTCATTTTTTTTAAGCATTCATCCATCTGGTTCACCCGCACATACACTACCGTTCATTTGAAGTCAGTGTGTTTTTTTAATGTATATATACACTCACCTAAAGGATTATTAGGAACACCATACTAATACTGTGTTTGACCCCCTTTCGCCTTCAGAACTGCCTTAATTCTACGTGGCATTGATTCAACAAGGTGCTGAAAGCATTCTTTAGAAATGTTGGCCCATATTGATAGGATAGCATCTTGCAGTTGATGGAGATTTGTGGGATGCACATCCAGGGCACGAAGCTCCCGTTCCACCACATCCCAAAGATACTGTATTGGGTTGAGATCTGGTGACTGGGGGCCATTTTAGTACAGTGAACTCATTGTCATGTTCA